ACAGATGAAGACACATGTCACGACTCATGTGTCTATATATCTAACATGTTCATGAATTGAAGTATGATATGTTCATATTAGCTCACTCAATCTTAAACGCATATCTATTTTCTTTGGCATAACATGTTTTCAAGTCGCTCAACATGCCTGGTTCCAATAGAAGGAAAAATGATACTAGATCAGGTTGATGGAATATAGTAATTAAACTAATCTTAAAGGAATCCTTGATTGTATATCTAATTGAGCATCATGTTCGATTTCTGCAATGTAGGATCTCATGTGGAATCATATTAATGGCCTTATGGAATATGTGGCTCCTAGTTAATGGTCGGTTCTGCGCTAAAGCTAAACAAGCAAGGGTTTTAGACATCACTTAATATCAATATTATAAGGGCATCAAATTCATAGATTTTTTTTCTGTAGTCTAATGGCTAACCTCTACACAATGAAACATCATACTTCGTGTTCGAGTCAAGTCTCTTGCAGTTTTTTTTTATGTTTTCTTTGTTGTTAGACCATAATTTTTTTTGGGGCTTTAGGCGGCCCAACATCTTGGACGGGCCCTAACAAGACATGTGATGCATTTCTTTTACGTTCCCATGAAAGTACATACAACAGAGAAAATATTATTAATAACGGAGAAAATATATGTTTTAACACATTATGAATATTTATGATTATGTGATAGAAAAATAAAAACAACTAAAATACTATATAGTTAAATCAGAAAATAGTAAATTTTATGTTAGTAACCTCATAAAAACTATAAATAATGATGTGAACCATCACTTAAATACATGATTATAACGCCTATAATTTGACAAATGTAATTAGATTATAAATTACGACTCACATAAATATTTAATATTTATTTTATTATTACATTTTAGTATATTTTATTAAATAGTCAATTTATGATATTTATCTCATACTAAAATTATCTGTTATTATATTAACAAAATCACACTTATAAATATGACATTTTTTTTGTCTTTAACTATTTAGATAATTTATAATGGAAAAAATGTATTTTGTAATATAAAAATTTAGAAATATTACATATTTTAGTAGAACGGTTTTTTTTTTATTTTTCTTAATTAGTCCATAATATTTGTTTAGAATATATTTCTTATTTTCTTTTAAAATTTTTTTTTGTTGATATTGGAAATATTACATAATTTTGTAGAACGG